CTTTTAGGTTGTTTTGGGGGTTTTTTTTCCCCAATTCTTTCACAACCCAGAAAGGAAGGAAGTTTTCTGTGCCCTGTTTCTAACACGTGGTAAAGAGGCAAAGGGAACCAAAGAGCACCAGGGCTCCAGGAATTTAAACACAGAGACAAAACAGTTTGCACTGAAACTCTGCACAAGTGTGAAGAACTGAAAGAACTATTAATAGGAGCTTTTTGAGACAGGGAGTCCAAACTGCTGCTCTGCTGCTCTTGTGTCATTTCAGCAGAACTTTGGTTCCTCCAGTATCCAGACTAAAGCCAGAACCCTGTTCACAGCCCCAGTTCAGTGCCACGCTGCTTCTGTTTTTATAAAATGTCACCTTCACATCCCAGTTTAAAAAAATATCACATTTCTGCTTCAGTGTTTTCAGCCCCAGTAACCGTGCTGTCGACTACAACCACTTGACTCACAAACTTTCTAACAGCTGCACTGGAACAAGTGGAGATTTAACTTGTAATTATTTTTCTCAACACAAAACTGAACTGAAGGAAGGGTTACGTGTGTGTTGTGCTTTAAAAAGCTTCCTGGTTGCAGAAACTGAAAATAACAAGTGAATGAATCTCGAAAATTTAAACTGGCTCTCAAAATTAACAGGGAAAACTAAAAATCAGGTGGTTCCAATGGAAGAAAAAGCTGAAAAGAAGACAGACCCCGGGCAGGCTTAAAGGCCTCTGCAGAAAATGCAGCACAGCTACAACGGAGAGGAAAAACTCAATGATTAAAAATAAGGTACCCACGTAAAAATAAGGCGTAACTTCGTTTTGCTGCGAATACACTCAACAACCTTAAAACCCCCCCTTTAAAAGGAAAAAAAATAAAATTAAAGGAAGGGCAGGTCGGTTTATTCGCTTCGAACGCGGACACCGCAAAGCGTGGTCAGCGCAGAGCGGGGCTCGCCCCCCGCGGCCTCTCGGCCCGATCCCCCTCCCACAGCCCGGGGAGCTCGGGGGGGCCGCAGCGGTGACACGGCCCCGCGTGGGTCGGGCCAAGGAGCTTTTCCAGCGCCAATCCTTCCGGCGAGGATCCCCAAGCGCCGATCCCTCCCTCTCATTCCCCCCCCGCTCCCCTCACGCTCCCGCCCGGGCCGCGCCGCCGCCATTTTCTCCGCGGCGAGGAGGCTGCGCAGGGCGCGGGGAGGAGAGGCGGGGGGGGAGGGAAAGAGGGAGGGAGAGAAGGAGCTCGGGCCGCGCAGCGCGGCCCCCAGCGCGGTTCCCGCAGCGGGCTGGGCGCGTCCCCTCGGCGCGCAGGCGGGCGGCTCTGAGGGGGCCGGCGGGGCCGCGGCACTTACGCGGAAGAACCCGGCGTCCATCTTGGCTCCTCCGCCTCCTCCCGGCCGCGGCGCGCGCTGCCGCTCCCGGCGTGCACCGCGCGCGCCCCCCCCGCCTCAGCCGCGCCGGGGGGAGGAGACCGGGGGGGGGGAGCGCGAGAGCGAAGGGGCGTGGTCACGAGGCGCGCCCGCCCATTGGTCGGAGGCTCGGGCGGCGGCCAATCGGAGAGCGTCGCGCGGCGGCCCGCGCGCGCGGGGCGGGGGGTTGCGGGGGGGGAATGTGGTGTGAATCTCGCTCTCGCGAGGCGTTGTCACGCTCGGCTGGTCGCGATGCCGGAGTCTCGCGAGATCTCGGGGCGGGTCGCGATGGTGTGGGGGTGGGGCCGAGGCTTCCCCTCAGCGATGGCGGCGGGAGGGGCCGGGAGGGAGCGGCGGAGGGTCCGGCCCGCGGGGACCGCCCCCGAAAATAGCGCTGTGCAGCCGTCAGGGTTGGGGTTGGAGAGGCGTCCTGGAGATCGTCCAGTCCCGGGCAGGATCACCTGGAGTAGGGGACACAGGAGCGGTGTCTCCTCGTCCCAGAGATGCTCCAGACCCCAAATCATCTCCGTGGCCTGCCCTGGCCCCTCCCCAGCAGCTCCTCCTGCTTGTCCTGAGGAGCCCAGAACTGGCCCCAGTCACTGCTGGGAGAGTTCTCTCCCCACACCTCAGGCACCAGTGTCCAGGACAGCAAACTGGAGTGACTGGGGCAGGTCCCACGAGTGTGTGTGCCCCTTTCTGGGCTGAAAGTCCCAGCTCAGTCAGATCAGTGCAGATTTACCCACAGTAAAAAAACTTTGGGTTTTATCCCAAAGTAACTCCTACATCCTTCGTGTTTAAAAAGGATCATTTACATTTCCTTTAAATAAAAAATTATTAATAATAATTAACATGTAAAATTAGTTCCTACTGAAGGCACCAGAGCTGCCTCCTGCTTCAGCAGCAGCCCTTTGTCAGTGCCACACGTGAGAGACACGTGGGTTTACGGGTGTCTTTGGGAGACAAATTGTTAATGGGATTCAGGAATGCGACCCAAAGAAACGTTCTTGTGTTTCATCTGCTTGGACTTGCCAAGATCCGTGCTTGGCACGCTTGGGGGAGCGCTGGGCTCCAGGGGAGAGGAGGATTGGGATGGGGCTGAGGGCGGCGTGGGGGAATTCAGCGAAGTTGCCAACACCGCTTGGAATCGCTTGGTGGTTGTGTCGGGAATCTCGAGTTCCCGGCGGCCGGGAGGGAGGAGAACACCAGGTGGAGCTCGGGGGATGACAATCCGGGCTTGGGGGATGACAATCCGGGCTCGGGGGATGACAATCCGGGCTCAGGGGGTGACAATGCGGGCTCGGGGGATGACAATCCGGGCTCGGGGGATGACAATCCGGGCTCGGGGGATGACAATCCGGGCTCGGGGGATGACAATCCGGGCTCGGGGGATGACAATCCGGGCTCGGAGCTGGCGCCTTGCGGGAGTTTCGGGCTCGGGACTCACCCAGCGGTGCAAAATTAATCATTCCAGCGGCGTTATTTGCATCAGCACTTGAGCCCCCTGGGCCACGGGCGCTCGGATCTTGTTAATCCGCAGAGTTTCGTGGGTAACCTGCAGCGAGTCCCGTGTGGATCACGATTAAGGGGTTGCTCTGACACTGCCTGTTCTCTCCCAGCGTGTGTGGGGGTCTCAAACCGCCCACTTTTCACTCTCGGCTTTCAGCAGTTCCTTCAAGCAGCTGCTTCCCTGGGGGTAGGAGCGCAGGGGGGAAATTTCCCCAAAATCTGGGCCTCTGGAAGTTGGGATCAGCGCTGAAGGAGCGCAGGGAGAGCGTGGGATTATTCCTGGAAAACTTCAATCCCCAGCGAGCTGCACGAGTGGCAGGGCAGTGGAAGCACAGGGGGGGGTTTTGTTCCTCAGGAAGGGGATTTTTCCTTGCTCAGCACCAGCTCCCGGGTTTTGCTGCCAGGAGGGGATCGTGGGGGCCTCCCAGGACGGGCAAAATTTTGCTGGGATTGTGGAATTTTTTTCGGTGGAGCAACCAAAGCGGTGGCTCTGCTGGCAGGAACAGGAATTCTGCAAAAGCAGGGCTGCTCACGAGGAGCTCTGCTTACCCTGCTGGGGAACTTCAGTGGTTTGAAATGAAGTAAATGGAAAAATAAACAAAATTTGCTAGAAGTAGGTCTGGCTGGGGATGTTAAATGTAGCAGCAGGATGGGGCTTATCTTTTCTAGAGGTCTTGATTTCAAGACATGCCCAGAGAACACCCTGAGCTGATCAGAGACAGCAACAGAAGGTCAGCTCCTTTATATTATTTTAGGAAAAAAAATTAGATTTGTGTCCGCTGTCCCTTCTGAGTGATTAAATCAATCACCCCTGCCACGAAAAATAAGAGAACTAGGACAAGGAAAATATTTACAGCGAGATTCAGAAACTTCACAAGCAGCTGCCTCAATATTTAGTTTGGAATTCAAACCCTGCTCCAGTTGCAGACAAATAGAAAAAAAAAATATTGCAAAGTAATTGAATTTAGTTTCTGCACAAAAAAAAAAAACCAAACCCAAACCAACAAACCACCAGTCAGTAAAACTGACCTGTTCAAGGGGTGGCTTCTTGGAAAAAAAAAAATATAAAAAATAGATCAGCTTGTCCCTCAATCCCTCCCCTGAGGACGGGGGGGATTCAGGGAGGGACCTGTTGGGAAGAAGCTGCAGGACAAAAAGCTGGAGCTTCTCTGGTCAGTCTTGCAGCAGGAACTTGTCCCTCTGTCCAGCCACTTCCAGTGAGTGATTCCATAGAATTTAAGCTGTGTGTGTCAGGGATGGAGCTGTTTCCCAGAGCCTTAAAAAACAAAGTTTAACTCCTCAGCTCCCTCTAACCCTCCCTGTGTCTCTGTCAGCCCTCTGGGGGCTGCTCTGACACCCCCTCAGTCACTGCCTGACAGTGCTGCTCTGTGTTCCCACTCGGTGGGTGTGAATATCCCTGGGAATTCCTCGTGGCATTGCTGGACTCCCACAACTATCACGCTGGCAGAACAACATCGTTGTTTTCTCAGTTCCTTTCTAGGCTAAACAAACTTCTAAAAATAGCTGGAGCCCGGGTCTGCAGCAGGGAACAAAGCCTTGCACTGGGGCTCTGCAGAGCTCCTTTGGAAACGGAGAGTGGCATTTACAGAAACAGCTTGAAAACCACTTGAAAATAAAAAGTATCGTTTTATCTCGTTAGAAACGCGGGAGGGGAGTAAGGATAAAATACAATTCTGATGCTTCCCATGCTATAAAACACACCTCAAACCTGTTCCATGCAGTTCACAAGGAGCCCAGGTCCCACCTGAGCTGTGGCACGTCCAGATTTGTCGTCACAGAAAGTTCAAACTCCGAGCAAGTGAAAGCTCCGCAGAATCTGAGCTGGCACCTTCTCTCCTTGCTTTATCCTCTCTCCCCACACCCAGGGCTCTGATGTGCCTCCACCAGCTGCTTTCAGCCACAGAAAGAGCATCCAGACCTCTTATTTTTCCTCCCAAGGGGAGCAATCAGGATTAATCAGGATCTCCAGCAGCTCCAAACGCTCGGCTGAGGAGTCCCAGGGCCGTGTGAGCAGCAGCATCACCTCCTGTCCGGCGGGGAGGACGAGCATTTCCCGGTTACCTGTCGTGCAGGTGGATGTCCACGGGGATGAAAGTCACTGTGGGAGGCTGGGCCAGGCCTTTGTGCCCCAGGGGAGGTGGCATCGCTGCCTTGGAGGGTTTGGGTTGCAGCTCCCGCCTGACCCGCGCCCGCCTGCGGAGGGAAAGGAGGGAGCGTCACCAGGGCTGGCACCACTTTGGGAGTCCCGTGGGGAGGGGTGGGAAGGGTCCCACACAGCCAGGATACCCTGTACAGTGATTTACCAGTCAGTAAAAGCCAGGATTCCCATCCCAAAGAATCAGGGATGAGAGGAAGTGCAGAGCTACATCCCAACCCTGACGGGATGTTGAGGATTCAGGACAAACCCACAGCCTGGGAAGGTTATTCAGGAAAACAACGGGACTGATGGAAAACATGGAATTTAATCCCTGTGCCTGCAGGAAGGGGCTCAGCACCAACAATAACAGAAGCTGGCAATGAACCAAATAATAACAAATAACAAAAAAACCTCAACATTTGAAGCTCCCCAACCAATCTGGTCAGAAAGCACCTGGAATGAGCAACAATAACAGGCTGCAAAGTCATCACACACTGAAAGGGAACAAACTCCTGACATTCCTGTTTGCTGTTCCAGAACATGGGAATCCTACAGGCTGAGTGTGGCACAGGCACTTCACAGGATTAAAACTCTTTATAATACCTGCAGTCTGCTGTGTGGCTCACACAGACACAACACCTGCCACTTCACCCAGCAATTTAATGTTCTTTTTTGGGTTGTTTGTTGGTTTGTTTTTTTCCCAATTTCTTTTTTTCAATTTCATCCCAAAAGTACCAAATGGCAAGTCCAGAAGCTGCCACCAACAAACCCTGGCAGGGACTTTGGTCCACCCTGGGGAACACAGAACGTGCCCACCTACCTGTTGTAGGTTTTCAAGATGAGCAGAACCGCTGTGAAAATCACAATCACCCCCACCACGATGGCAGCAACTATTGCTCCAGAACCTGGGGGACAAACGGGGAGGGAGGAAAAAAAACCAACACCTTATTTACAAAGTTGTCACTGTGCTGCTTGAGGTTCGAGAAGTACAAGGTCCGCTAAAATAAAATAAAATAAAAAATAATTAAAAAAATAAAATAAAATAAACCAGCCCACCCCTTTTCTTACTTTGGTAGAGACTTTGTTCTTGAGACTTGGTGGTCACGTTCCCTGAGAGCTGAGTGTTGTTGCTCAGTGGCATGGCCGTCGTCATCTTGACTGCAGGGGGGAACAGGGGAGTGAGTTCATAAAACATCAGTGAAATATCAACCCAAATTTACACTGCTAATTAAGCATTAGGCTCAGAACCTACTAAATGAGGATTCACTGAGGTGAGGTTCTTAATGTTTTCACTCTGGTGAAAACCAGGCCCTGCTGTAGCCGATGGAAATCTCGCTCCAATCTTGAGCAGTTTGCTTTAAAATATCCCCTGTTTGGTGTTAATGGGATTAAAATAAGATACAAACACAATGATGCATTGTTGCTGCTGTTTGGGATAATGTGTATTTTAAATGCTTTAGGGTTTTTAGGTCATCATCTCAGGTTGAGATTCACTGGTGAACAAGTGCAAGGGATTCTGCCCCCAGAATCTGCCCCCTAGGACACTCCAGCTATCCCTGGAAATGTAAATTATTCTGCCACACTCGATATGGATCGAGTTTCCCGTTTCAGATGCTTCCCAGCACAGTCAGGCTCTGTTACACTCCATCAGGATATTGTGGCCCTGTGGTGTGTTCTCAGTGCAGGTGATCTGACACAACAGCCAGAAATGATTCAGTGGATGGAAATCAGCTGATAACAAAAATAACTGGGAATCTGACAGGCAGCCTGCCCTGCCTTCTCCCTGGCCAGGCTTTCCCAAACCTTTCTGCAGTTGGTCCAACACCACAGACAGTGGCAGGGCCCAGGTTTGGGAGGCAGGAGGACACAGTGGGATGGGCAGGGACAGGCAGGGTGTTGTTTGGAGTGGGGAGGGCACCAGCTGAGTCAACACATGGAGGCTCCGTGGTGGGAATGAGAGGGATCAAGAGCCAGCAGGAATGAGAGGGATCAAGAGCCAGCAGGAAGGGGAGCAGGCAGGGGTTGTGTGGGAATGTGGGATCAGGACTGCAGGGTCCATTTCACCAAATACTTCAATCCCCCAAAGGTAGAAGTTTGGATTTCTTCTTTTAACCTAAACCCCCGAAATAACTCTGCCCCGGGCCTGTAAGTGGGTCATTCTCCTCTGGCTGAATGGTGCCTTTGTTTAGCCAAGGCCACGTTAATTCAGCGACAGGAACTGCAGCTGCAGATCTTTCAACACTGAAATATTCTGTGTTTAGAGCTTGCCCAGCACAGGGAAAGGGTTCACACACACCTGGGGGTACCTGAGAGGCACCAGAGCTCAGGGAAGAGCTGTCCCTGTCCCACCCATCCACTTGAAACTGCGGGGGTGGAGGTTGCACATTGGCAGCAGAGGATGAAGAGCCTCTCCATCCATCTGCAGGCTGGGGAAAGCTGGGCAAGTGCTCTGACCATGGGCAGAAAGCAGAAAAAAACCACATCCAGCTGTCACCTTGTGGCTCCTGAGTGGCAGAGCTCCAACCCCAGACTCCCAGGAGAGTTCTTCCCCTCCTCTGGCTACTGAAGTGAAAACCCCCAAATAAATAAGGCCGGACATTCTGACATTAAGCCACGCAATACTCCTGCTTCCTACCTTCCCTCTGGTTCAAACCACCTTGGGAATGGCTGAGCTGGTTGTGCATGAGTCACCCAACCCCGAAGAGCTTTTATTGTTGCCGGTGAAACCGCCTGTTTACAAAAAGGATTAATTTCTCTGCCAGGGTGGCAACAAGCTAAGGTGAAAATGGAAATGGGAAAATGCGTCGGGACAGGTTTTTTTGTCAACTGTGCAGCGAGTTAAGAGGTCCAAGGTCTGTGTCTCCAAGGCCTGAGCCTCCAGCCAGGCCAGGGGGTGCCTGTCCTTCACCTGCAGCAAATCCCAGCCCTGCTGCTGCCCCGAGAACCAGCAGGTTCCACCTGAGCAAACCCCTGCTGCGAGACTCAGGGACACAGAAGAACCCACAGGGACCTGTTGCTTTTGGGGAATTGCAGCCTGGACCCTGCTCTGCCTAGAAAAGCCCAGGGAAAATGCAGAGTGCTGGGTAAGAGCCACCCAGCGGGGCAGAAGGAGCGGACTTTGCTCCGGCAATCACGGGACATTCTTTCTCCGTGACACACCGGCTGCACTTCCCCCTGTGCACACACACCTGCCTGGCCCCTGAGAGCCACTCATGCACCCAGCCTGGTGCTGGAGGCTCACACTGCTGGTTGTTTTTGCAGCCCCTGGAAATGTTTCCACGGAGTTCAACTCAGGCACCCCCCTCCCGTTTCCACTTAAAGCAGATGCAGTTGGGGGGTTGTTTGGGCCTGGGGGAGAAACGCCCTCCTTGGCACAGCCTTCCCGAATTTCAGCTGCTCCTTTAGGAGGAGATGAGGGATCAGAGCTCCAGCAGCAATTACAGGAGAGGGGGGACAGGGAACAGGGGGCTTCGTTTGAGCCTTGATCCACCGGGAGCGTTCCTGGGGGGCACGGGAGGGAAGGAAGTGTAATCAGCAGTTAAATATTACCCAGAAAAAACCTGATTCAGAGAGGAGAAAAATGCCTCCAGGCACCTGCAGGAATCTCAAGGCAGGAGGGGCTCAGAGGGGATGGCCAGTGAGACTCGAGGGGACAAATGCAAGACCGTCAGTGGGGGCACTCAAATGTAAAACAGGAAAATTAATCTGAGCTCAGTTGGAGCCTGGCAGGGGTCTGTGGCATCGTGCCAAGCGCCCCCAGATCCCATCACCCAAATAGTTTATCTCTGCTGTTCAAAGAAGTTGCAGCAAAGTGCCTGTTGGTGGCAAGTTCAGGACAGACAAAGCACAGAAGAGCGGCCTGTCCGTGAGGACATTCCCCACAGTGGGAAGTCAACCCCGCTTTGGGCACGTCACCATCTAGAAAAGGCCCTGGAAAAGCCCCTACAGCTTTTCAGATTGCTGGAGGAGAGAATTTTAAAAAAAAAACAAGCACCCCACTGCAGACTCAGCAGTGTGTTGGCAGAAATGCTTCCCAGGGCACCTGACAGCACGGAAGGACCGTGGCTCCAGGGCCTCTGGAATTGGGTTATAACTCGCTTGCTCCGTGGAGGTGGTTGTGAAAACACTCAGCTCTGTGTGTGTCAGTGGGAAACTGGGTGACTCAGACATCCCTGCAGCTTTTTTTCCCTCGCCTTCCCTGCTCTGTGATCTCCATTCATGCCTCCCATCATCCCTCCCTGCGAGAGGCCTGCCGGGGGCTGTGGGTTTGAGCTGCTGTTTCCTGGGGTTTGTGGCTCTCCATGAAAGCAGCACAGTCATCCCCCACCACGTTCTTTCCCTCTCCCACGTGCCCAACCACAGCCCAGGCCAGGGCTCCCTCTGTGGTCCCAACCAAACCCCCTCCCAGCACAGTGACACCGATGCCAGCCTGGCACGAGGGCATGGGAACCCAGCACGTGGGATGTCACCCAGGGGAGCAGGGGCTGCTCTGGGCAGGGGGATTTACCCTCAGGGCACAGGGCCTGCTGATCTTAGAGCCCTGTAACCCCCACCCTGGGCTTCTCCAGCTGCCCTGGGCACTAAATCCTGACTGATTCACTCTCCATCGCCACAAACGAGGAGAAGAATTTCGTGTCACTGATAAAAAGTCACTGCTTGCAGGAGCAGCAGACAGAGAGGAGCTGGGCTGGCTGGGAAACCTTCAGGAATTCCTGCCAACAAGGCAGCCAAGCTGTGGGCCAGAGCTTTGGGAGTGTTGTCCTTGGTCAGCAGCTCAGCCTGAGGTAGCACAGGCTCCCCAGCTGCTGGACTGGACCTGCTGCAGCTGAAGCTCTTCAGTGACCAGAAAAATGCAAATCCTGATCCTTCTGTGAGAACCTCTGAGAGTTTCACACCCTTCAGGTTTTTCTGTGTTAAAAACTACAGAGAGACTCCTGGTGGAATATCACACTGCCAGGGGGCAGGGTTAGATGGGATATTAGGAAAACATTCTTCCCTGTGAGGGTGGGCAGGCCCTGGCACAGATTTGCCCAGAGAAGCTGTGGCTGCCCCATCCCTGGAAGTGTCCAAGGCCAGGTTGGACGGGGCTTGGAGCAACCTGGGCTGGTGGAAGGTGTCCCTGCCCATGGGTAGAAGATGATGAACTTTAAGGTCTCTTCCCAACCCAAACCATTCTATGATATAAAGACTCTGTATACACAATATAAGGAATTCTGGCAGCAACAGAGAAAGGCAGCTCCTTTCACTTTGCAAACACCAGCATGGAAGCAGCCACAGGATTTCTTGCACATGCCAACTTGTTGAATCAGTGAGGCACCTTCCCCTCTTCCAGGAACCCTTTAGACAAACACACAGGTGGTTGGTACCTCATGTTCTCAGCCTGGAATCCCTCAAGCCCAGCCTGGCACCCCCAGCCTGGTTCTCTGTCCCCACAGAGGGACAATGACTCTGACAGGCCATGAAGTCACCGGTCACTGCTTTGTCTGCTGCTTTGTAAGCACTAAATGAAACCCTCCTGCCCAAACACTCCAGCCCAGCACAACTTACCACAGCAGTGAAATCTGTTTGCAGAACGCTCTGTTTCCTTTAGCAGGGACTTCCTGGGGCATTAAATACATAAATTACCAGGAAAGGCCAGAAACCGCCGTTTAAACCTGTCAGCAACTTCAGAACGTTCCCAAATAATGCAAGCACTGTAGTTCAGTTCTGTGCTGGAGACACTCAGCGAGCTGTAACACGATGCTCTGAGCTTTCTAGTCCTTCTCCTGTTAAATATTACTTTGCCAGCCCTTTCCAGCCACTCAACAGATTAAAGAAAAAAAGAACCAACAATCCCCACACACAACAAAACCACAAACAAACCACCAACAACCCCTTATTTATAGCGCTGGGGTTGAATAAGTCAGGACGAGGGATTCGGCGTTGGCAGCGATGAAAAGGACACCGCGAGCGAGGGAACAATCGCTCAACAGCCGCGCTGAGTTCTCCCCGGGGAGGGAACAACGCGCCAGCTCAACCCCAGCCCCGTCCCTTCGATGTTTCCAATTAATGGAACAACCTCTCGAGCACCGGTCGGACAGGGCGAGGGCATCTGCTCCCTGTTTCTCTCCGGCTCAGAGCTACCCACGAAGAGCTTTGCGTTTGCCGCGGAACGGGCGCACAAACCCCGCGGTAACCGCGCTGTTCACACGGGCAGAAGGCACCGCCGAGCTTTAGGGCCGGAGGGTTTAAATTGCCGGTAAATCAAGAGCGATTCTCCCCTCCCCGCCCGGGGTACTCACGGAGGATGCTGCGGGCTCGGGGCGCTCCCGCGGCGGCTCCGGCTCCTTCTCCCGGCCGGGGCTCCGGCTCCTTCGCCCAGCCGGGCCCGCCGCCGCCCGGGGACAGCGCGGTGCCCGTGTCGGAGCCGCCGCAGCCCCGGCACAGCCCCCGCCGCCCGCAGGTGCCTCCCCGGGGCCGCCCAGCCCGGCCCGGCCCCCGGCGCCGCCTCCCCGGTGCCCCCGGCAGCGCCTGGAAGGGGGGATGGAAGGGATGGAAGGCGCCGGGATGCGATCCCCCGCCCCAGCTCGCAGCCGGGATTTGGGAACAGCCCGACTGCCGCGGCGCTTCAGTGCCCGAAGGTCTTCCAGGCACTTCGCAGGATCGGACTGGAAAGGAATCCTTGCCTTTAACCTGCGCTTCGATGGCTTAATCTGAGCTTCCCCCTCAGTGTGGAGTGCGTGACCACAGCCCCTGTCTGGATTTTTCATGTGGGAATCCCACTTATAAAAGGGATCTGTCCCCTGCCTAGACCTGATGCTGCTCCCACGGGAAACCAGGAAACCACACGAACAAGCCACAGCCCTCAGCCCAGGCTCAGCTCGTGGTTTAGGATTGTCCAGATGTTCTCCCCCCCCCAGCTGCAACCAGAGCCACCACCCCTGTTACAATCCACCTGAAACACAGGGATGGAACCTGCTCCTTACAAAATCCAGCCTCTGTATGCAAAGGCAGCAACGAGGGGCATCCCAACCGTCCATAAACATTTGCAGTGGGTTTTTTGGGAAGGCCAGAGTACGTCACAGCCCGGAAAGCTGGGATGAGGGATGAGGTGCTTCCTTCCCTACAGCTCCCTGCTGATTCCTGGGTGAGAAACGTTCACTCTGGGTCTGTGGGTTCACCATGGAAAGCGCTTTGGGGAGCCACCGACAAAGGTGTCAAATGCAAACCTGAACTTGCACTTCCAAATCTCAACTTGGATTTATAAACCCAAACTTGCCTCGGTGCTTGCCCCAAAGACAAAGCCACAGCCACACGTCCCATTTGAGAAGCTGGTGCTCAGGTCCAAGTGAAGACTTAAAGAACAACCAGACCAGCACAGATCACCACAGGAAATGGGAATTCACCTCCTCCAGGACCGTTTGTGTTCCCAACATGTTCAGTTTGGTGCAATTTTTCTGCACAGCTACAAAGACCCCCATTAGTCCCTTCCAGCTCAACCTTTTTGCCTCAATCCCACCCCGTGCAGCTCCTTAAAACCAGAGACAGAACCCTCAGCAGGGATTACTCACCAGTCACCTTTTCAAGGGAGTAAATTTTGCTTGATTGGTTTCTTTTCAATTACTGCCTCATCCTGCAGGAACAAGAAGCAACACGAGGCTCTCCCGGGAACAGGAGTGGTTTTCCAGCCACATCCCTTCCCTGGGCTGGGTCTCTGGAGAGCACAAGAGGCTTTCTCTCAGCAGTGAGCAACCATCACTTGGAAGAGGTGTGAATACAAGTTAATAAGTCTGGGATATTTATTTATTTATACAAAGAGCAAGCTCGGGAAGGGTCGAGTTGGTGCCCCTGGTGCTAAAAATAGCACCCAAGAGCAGGTGAGCGATTCAGAGAAACAGGTTCTGGTGGTTGTGACCGAGCCATGGCGTGGTGTAAATAAAGCAAACTTGAACTTCAGCCATTCCCAAGGCAGGGTGTCACCCTGGGGTGCCCAGAGCCACTCCTGGTGCCAGCTCTTCTGCTCCTGATGCCACCCGGGACAAAAGCCCCCCATTTACTTTTGTGGAGCAGTGCATCCCACATTATTTATGGGAAGTCTGGTCCTTTCCCTCCCGTGGGAATGGGAGTCTTTTTGAAAGCAAGGAACCCACCACAACCCCCTCAGTCCCTCCTGCAGCCCAGCAGCTCCCAGGATATTCCTGCTGAACTCCCCAACTTCTTCCCTTCCCTGACAATCCACATGGAAACCCCCAAACAATTACTGTGATGTTCACTCGGGGCAGACACCACCCTGAAAGAATCTTACATATCAGACTTGGCCCAGAGTGGAACACAGCTAAAATCCCAAGTGTGAATGGCACTGCACTGTTTTATTTGAAGTGTCTTTACACAACAAGAAGTGCTGGAATGTTCCACGTTTTACACGTTTATACATCGACAACGTCACGCTTGATCTGCCTCATAAAAGTGTTTGTGAGGGTTCCCCACTTACTGCTACTCACAGCAACTTCTGCAGTGGGGCAGAAATTCAACAGCTAACAGAATAAAAACAACACAGAGAATCCAGACAGGGCTTCTGGAATTTGAAGAATCCACAAGCCTGATGGGTAACACAGGATTTTGTTGTTGTTGTTTTTTTTCCCCTTTGTTTCAATGCAGTGAGACAGAGAAGTTGGTCTTTGAGTGATTTTAATACCTGAAGAGATACATAAATATCACACCTGTGGAGGCAAGGTGAGCAAAGCCCATTTTCCTACCTTTTTAACCTACACTATTCCTGCCTCTGGAACAAGGACCTGCCTGCAGGATCCCACTTTGCAAGGTGAAGCTGGTGGTGGATCCAGGATGACACAGGAGCTGGAAACTGCTCCATCCATGTGAATCCCTGACCATTCCTTTTCTCTCTGCTGTCAGTCAAGTGAAAAAAAAAACACTTTGGAGAGTTCAAGAAGCACGTCATGAACGACTGAACCACACTGAAATGACCCTGAAAAATCTGAGTTTCTGAATGACTCCGATGATTTCCACACACAAACATCAGCAGCCTGGTTTGTTCACAGATCATTTTATCCTTTGAAATAGAAAAAAAAAGAAGAAAAAAAAAAAAGAATCTGTCTAGACTAAAAAACTTTGGCTATAAAATAGCATAAAAGCACAGGAGCAGGTGTTGTTATATACCAAGGCATGTTGTCCTCCTACTAAAAAAACACTTAACACAAGATCACAAAAGTAAAGATCTGTATTCTAAAAGATGCCCCCTGCTCTCAGAGGCAGCAGATGCTCTGCCAGACACGCAGGACCACCACACAGGAAAACAGCAAACAAGGGCTGGAACTGCATAAAAACTGCCTAAGCCAGGCAACTGATTGTCTTGGAAAATACAAAACAGACTGGGGGAGTTAAAAATTAACCCTCGGCGTCTGATCTGCTGCCATGACCTCACAGTCACGGCGTTACCCGGACACGGAGCCCGCTTGGGGACTGGACATCCCCAGAGAGGATCAGAGACCACACATTCAGCTGCTGGGCCCACAATTTTAATCTACCTGCTGTAATGAACTCCTAATTAGGTGTCAGTGCAAGCCACCAGTGCACCACACAGAGCTCAGGGTTGGTGACAGCCCCGGTGTGCAGCCACCAAACCCAGCTGAGTTCAGCTCCACCCCTGCGTTTGTGCCTCACGGCCAGTCACAAACACACCCCTGGCCTTTCTGAGGAAAGCAAAGGTCAATCCTCACCTCAGCTGGGAAGGAATTTCAGCATAAGGAGTGCATTTCACTTGTGTTTAACGCTGTATGAACTGGAAGCTGTTGGACCAGCACAGATCAGCTCTGCATTGCTGGGCAATGAGCTCCCTGGAACCCAGCCATGACAGCAAGACATTATTTCAGCACTTGGTACATCACACTGTACAACAGAAACAAAAACATCTTTAAAAAAAAAACCAAAACACAACCAGACTTCCTATAACTGTCACTATTTCAAGTCAGGTGGATTTGCTACACTCAGGGGGGTGGAGGGGTGGGACTAGTCCCTAAAATTAAAGTGCTTTTCAGAGCATTGGCATCCAAACCCTTGAGCATGAGAGAGACAACTACACAGTCAGCTCTGTTGTGGCTACAGCAGCAGCACAGACATCGACACACGGACTCAGGAGTGTCTGGTGTTGGTACCCCCTGGAGCAGCTGAGCTCTAGCAGTGCATGGTGCCCCCCACCTCCAGGGCACGCTCGAAGGCCTTGGAGTCGCTCAGGATCGTTGGGGGCGGGTCTGGACGCCGGGTCTGCAGGATCTTCCGCCTGGGGTTTTTGAGCTCCTCCTCCTCCTCTGTCTCGCTCTCACACACGTGGACCACCACGCTGGGAGTGGAGTCTGTCCCTGCGTGGAGCTCGTACTTCTCCCCTGAGGGCAGCAAACAAACACCCTGCTGAAACATCACCCCCACCCAGGGGGAAGCATTCACCTCAAAAACTCCTTCGTATCTCCAGCAGCGCAGCCAAACACTCACCTGGGATTTGCTGGACTGCCACACTTCACTAAACCTGTACTTGGAGGACAATCAGCCTTTCAGCTGGTGTTTAAAGCAAGGAAGGGGTGCTAAAAAACCCTCCTGAGCCACTGAAGGCAGCACAACACAGGCAGCACACACATTTTTCAAGTGGCATCATTTATGTAAATGAAAACCTACAAAAGCACTCGAAAATGTTAACCCTCCATATTTCCTGTCTGTCACAGAAAGCAACCACCACATTTCCCAGGAAGGCTTAGAAAGAAGTTGATGATTAAACCCCCAAAAGCACATATTAGCATCTCTACATCCTTAGTAACTTGAGCTGCCCATCTGCAAGAGCCTGAAGTTCTCATTCCTCTTTTATTGTTTGTTTCCTTAACGCTGAGACTCGGACAAAATTCAATATATGGACGTGATGGAGCCAGTACCACACAGTCCAGCCTGTGCTACACTTCCAACCAATTAAATAATTAAAGTAAAAAAACAAAGTGATGGGTCATTTCACTCCAGGAAGAAACATCACATTAAAGAGACTGAGTTTCTTCTCACACAAAGACAAGTAGATAAAATCCCTCTATAACCATTTTTCAACTTAAGCATCACAGCAAAAGGAGGTGAAATGTTCCCACCTGGTCCCAGCTTGGAGACAGCACACAGCAAGTCATAGTTTATCAGGGGAGTTGCATCTTCACTCTGTTTCCACCCAACTGGTGGAGAGGCAGGTGGGGAGATGAGGAACTGCTTGACAGGCTGTGGAGGGAGGAGGTAGGACTTGTCCCCTATTTCCCCGGATACCTGCACCTGAGGGCCAAGCCAGGAGACACAGATGGAAAATGTTAATTCCCTCTTTATTCAGGCATTTCCCCACTAATGCTTGTCCACCCCCTGCTTTGGTAACGCTCCATTCAGCCCAGTCCTGTGGGTGCAACCCCCCAGGGCAAGGCTGCAGTTCAGACCTCGGCCTGGGCAGGTGCTGCCAGTGCCGACCCAGCATTTACATCCCTGCAAAGAGCACTCTGCACCCACCCCTTCCCTTCCAGCACAGCTCTGGTGGGGTCTGCACAGCAAAACTGCCTCCAGAGGGTGAATTTCTCCCTGTCAGCCACGCCCTGACGCAGCTCAGGGCGGGACAACGAGGCTGGAGGTGACTTCTGATGGTTGTCATGAACGGAACTCACGGAAAAAGGAGGACTTAAGGGATGAGGGCCACGAGCACAACCCCTTTGCTCCATCCCACCTGGGCAAAGTAAAGCTTCAGCTTCTTGCCCCCGAAGTCTGTCTCGTGCAGCTCTATCCGCGCTCTCGCTGCTGCCTCCGGATTGCTGAAGTTTATCCTCACTCTTCTGAAGCTCTTGAACAGCTGGAACGTCACTTGGTCGTCGTAGGCCGTGAAAAGGCCTTCAAACCTTTCCTAGGGGTGAAGTAGAAACATTGTCCAGACACAAAATGAATGTTTTCACTCTGGGAAAACACACCAGCCTTGGGCTTTCCCCTCCTAAATCCCACCCGCGTCCCTTTGCAGCGGGTTTGTCCCACCGGTTCAGTCGGAATTCCAAGAGCACCTGGATGTGAACAGAGACCCAACACTCGGCATGCACGAACTGCCACCTAGCGAGAGAAACTCGGAGTGCACATCTCCAAAAATGCACGTGGCTCTCAACAGGGATCTCCAAAAGCACCGTGCAGATGGAATCGTTTTTATATGAGATAAATTAAAGCGCTGAGTTCTTAAGGAAATGTCAGAATTCTCATCACGAGTAGGAATGTTAGTCAGGGATTTCTGGTCCCTTCCAAAGTAAACACTCACAAAAATGCCAGATTAAAAAAATTCACATACTGCTCCCCCTCACTCATGTAATGTAACTAATTATTCCTGGTGCCCTTGGAAGCCCAGAGAATTAAGATTTGATGGAATAAAATGCTGACAGGCCAGAGAAGATTTAGTTTATTATAATGTTTTCATAGGCTACTTTCAAGGTGTTCAAGCCAGAACACACATCCTGCACATTCATCTTGCTCTTTTAACAGGATCTTTGCCTTGAAATAAAAATTTACAAGTGCAGATTTTATTTTTAAGTGATAATATTTTTTTTAAAATCGGATTTGATTTTATTTTATTTTATTAGATGGATGTGGAACCACAACCACTGGATAAAGAGAAAAAAGATACTGATCAGAGGAGCTTTCCAGGGGAGCAGCACTGTGTATCCACTGACAATTCCAAAGGCTAGGATAGAGTGATACTATCTGCTCTTTGGTAGATGTGCTCAGGCTGCTCTGAGCTTCCCAGGAAAATACTTTGGGATGGCTTTTTCCCCCAGTTATAACAAGCATTAACACACCAGATTACACTTCCAAACCCACACGCTCCTCCTGCCTCACCTTCTCCTCCTGCACCTCAAACACGGCCTCGTGCACGCTGCAAGCGAAGAGGGAGGTGGGCAGGTCACTCAAATCCATCATCTCTTCCAAATCCTCCTCATTTTCCCCGAAAATCATCTGCTCCTCCTCCTCCTGGTCGCTGCTGTACAGGTCGGACTGGCTGTCGCTCCAGGACTTCATGGGATCCCTCAGCATCCTTCTCCCCCTGCAGCTCCTGGGGAGGGGCCAGCTTAGAACAGGGCCCTGCCATCCCAAAAAAACACAACCCAAAATCCAGTGTGAGGGCCCCACATCCCCCTGCCCTGGGGAAGGACTGGAGACTCTGCTGCCCAACCAAAAGGGACATCAAGTCACTCTGTCAAGGAGCTGAAATTCCCCCTCCCTTTCTCCTGACAAATCCAAACCGACAACGCCGCTCTGTGTAATTTCCAGCACAGCATTTCCTGCTGTAAACCCCAAAATCTGAAAAGCTTCTGCAGGGAACACTGAGCTACAAAAGCCACTTCAATCATGCTGTGGTTCTTCCTTCATTAAGGATGCATCACGGTTCTATTCTTTTTAATCACGAGCCTACAGGGTTAATTCTGTTTTTCCTCTCAGATCACCCGGTTTTTCGTGACTTCACCCAAATCAGTATCAAAACACCTGCTTACTGAGCAATGCAAGGACATCCTACACCTTCCCTGGCATCAGATGAGACAGGTAGGACTGATGTGTGAATGTTAATTAACAAGTCCAGTGACAAACAGCCCCCTGAGAAGTGATATTTTGAGAGATCAGGCAGAATTGTTTGATTATGCAATTATTAGAGAGCATTAAAACCAGAAGAAGGGTGCTCCAAGCTTGACAGGCACAGGAATGTGATTATCAGTGCAACAGCCAACTGTTCTGATTCAGCTTCCCCAGGAAAAAAGGGGATTTCTTCACTGGAAAGGTTCCTATTTATCTGGGAATGGAGATATGCAAATGCAAGTCGTTTGTTACATTTACTATTTATGATCCGCTAATTCTTACCAGGGTATTAACCGCAATAAACAAATTGAAAGCGGTTTCAATGCAGTGCTCATTAGCAAACTATTTGCTCTCAGATTGCAGATTTAACAGCCTCACACAGCTCGACTGAAAGGATCCCAGGAACTAAAGCCACCGGGATCAGACCTTTCACTAAGTCCTTTATTCTGGGAATTAACACCTGCTTACCACTTAAACGGCAGGTGAAACACTCGAAAGCAAACTCTCCAACTCCACACAGGGCTAAAAATCTTGTGATATTTGAGCAAAGCGGCTCCTGCCCTTGGGGGCTTCAGCTCCTGGGGGTGTTTTCCTGGGCATCCTCTGGAGCAGCAGCTGAGCACGAGCAGCTCCCTCGCATCACATCCCGAAAAACCCGAACGCAGGGACCAGAAATGGCCATTTCCACAGCAACAGAACCCTCCCCGAGGAGCCGAGGGGCAGAAATCCTTCCCTGGGAGGGCGGGCAGGCCCTGGCACAGCTTTGCCCAGAGAAGCTGTGGCTGCCCCATCGCTGGCAGTGCCCAAGGCCAGGTTGGAGCAGCCTGGGCTAGTGGAAGGTGTCCCTGCCCGTGGCACGGGTGGCACTGGGTGATGTTTGAGGTCCCTTCCCACCCCACCCCACCCCACGGTCCCGCACACCCCGCGGAGCTGCCCCGGCCGAGCGCAGGGAGCGGGGCTCACCCCCCGCCCGGGCCGGAGCCCTGACCGGGGATATTCCTTAATTAAAAAACCCCCAAACCCTCGGGATCCGCCCCTCAGGGAGAGGAAAAAAAACCAAACCAAACCAAACCAAACCAAACCAAACCAAACCAAAGCAAAGCAACAACTTCCGCACCCGCGGCTCGGAGCGCTCGGCCCGGCCCGGGCCTCACCTCACCTGCGGACGGGGCTCGGGGCGGGGCGGCGGGAGCGCGCACCGGCCCGCGGGTGTCCGTGTGGGGCGGCGGGAGCGCGCACCGCCCGCGGGTGTCCGTGTGGGGCGGCGGGAGCGCGCACCGGCCCGCGGGTGTCCGTGTGGGGCGGCGGGAGCGCGCACCGGCCCGCGGGTGTCCGTGTGGGGCGGCGGGAGCGCGCACCGGCCGCGGGTGTCCGTGTGGGGCGGCGGGAGCGCGCACGGGAGCGGCGAGAGAGACGGGAACGCGCCTGCGCGCGTGTCCCCCCCGTCATGTCCCCCCCCCTGCCATCCCTCAGCGCCTCCCGGAGCGGCGGGGAGAGGGTCGGTGACCCGGATGGAGGGAGGGAGGGGAGAGGGGGATAGGGAGAGGAAGGGAGGGAGGGGCGGCCCCGCGCATGCCCCGGCCCCGCTGAGGGGTCCGGCAATGGCCGAGACCGGGGAGGGGGTGGTGGTGGTGAATTATTTAAATTTATTTAAAAATTCCGCGAGTTGCCCTCCAGAGCTGCGTGTGGAGAAGAGCCGGCGGCCCCGGCAGGGCCGAGCGCGGAGGAAGGAGACGCTGCGGAGCTGCGGGAGCGCCCGGGCTGGAGCAGCCTGGGCCGGGGGGAGCTGTCCCCGGGTGACCTCTGAGGTCCCTTCCAGCCCAAAGCATCCCAAACCATCCCACGATTCCACAGTTTAATCACCTGTTGATTGAGGTCCGGGGGGGGGGGCGTGGGAAGCGACACGGGTGGCGCTGGGGGCACAGCGGGATGCTCCGTGTGCTGGGACAGGCGCTGCTGCTCCGGGGTGGATGTAGGGGCAGCCCTGGCCAGCTGCCAGGTGGGGACAGGGACAATTCGCATCCCCGGGAGTAAATCTCGGCTTTAATCCCAGCCCTGAGAGGGTTTGAGGCAGCCCCGTCATCTGAGGCGGGTGATTAATCGACGCCTGCCTCCCTTTACCTCCCGAACAAAACACAAACCCGCGTTCCTTTGTTTGGTTTCCCCACGGCAAAACGGCACCCACACAAAGCTTTTGGATTTCACCGGCACAAATTATTCAGTCCCACGGTTTTGGCCTTGCTTGGAGAGCCAGGAGAGCCAGAACACTGAATTTCTGTGGTTGAAACGCTTTCTATTCTAAATTTCAGGTACAGGAAAAAAAAAGGCAGAAAGCAACGTTCAGCTGGTGTTCTCCACCAGGCTGCTGATTTACCTGTGCACAAGGCAAACCTTTCCCTTGTAAGAAAACAGCAGAGCAGAGCTGGCTTTAGAAAGGTAAGATCAGTCTCACCTGCCCAAGAGAAAAGGATTCTGCAATTTAGATGCTGTGCAAATTTAGGTGGTAGTTGGTTACTCTGTGTTACCTCAGCCTTCCCTTGCTGCAGTCACATAGTTTATTGATTCAGTACCACAATCTTCCTCCCTAGGCCAGCAATATATTCTGCTTCAATACCACAGACTCCCAACATTTATATGGCCAATTCAGAGGCATTTTAAACACTTCTGTCTTTTGAAATAACACCTCCTGTTCCTGCAACGCTCCTGGCATCTGGCTCGACTGCCATCACTTTATTTAGCACTTAAAGCACTTGTCTGTAATATAACACAATGTCCCTTAAATGACTGATGTCAACAAATTATTTCCACATTTATCAGAAATTCTGGGGCTTGGGGAAGCTGCTTCTGCCAGCATTGTCCAGGGATTCAATCAAGTGCAGCTCTTTAACAGCAAAGCAGCTGAGGTTGCTCTCGGGTTGGTTTTGTTCTTTTTTTCTTCCTTTGTGGTTTGGGACCCCAAGAGATACATTTAATTAAGAGTATCCTGAGGGTTATCCTCTTATCCCCCTGGACTAAAACCCATCTGTTAAGTGTTAATTAAGTTGGCAAGCAGTCGATTAAGCTGCGTCCCCACTAGTCTAAATTTATTTACGACCATCTCTAGATCTCTAAATGGCAGTGAAGCTGCTCCTGTATCCAATTCACGGTGCCCTGGAGCTGAGGGATGACATCTCCTCCAGCAGAGCATTCCCAACTTTCACCAGAGGGCTTGGCTGTCTCAAAGAAGCTCAATTTCAGTAGAAAACCTCACGAGTCAGGCCATCAGTAATACAGGGATTTTGGGGTTGTGTCTCCCCACTCCTTTAGGTTATCCCTGGCTCACATGTTCAAGCTCTTCTCCAAAATTAGAAATGCTAATTCATTAATTATTAAACCAAGTTTTTGAAGTTAAATTGCACAGTTCCTACAGCTGACACCAAACACTTGGCCACTCCTGTGCACTGGCAATGCTGCAGCCCCAAACACAGCAATCTGCATCTCATTTACAGGCATCCTGTTAAAAACAAAACAGACAGGCCTTTCAATACACATTTCAGGAAAATAAATTCTGCCTTAACTTCTCTCAAGAAGTTCAGGGCCAGTTAAAGCTATTCCCAGAGCACAGAGCAAGCCAGGATTCCGTCGGGTTTTACCACAACCTTTTATTGAGAGTTTCCTTTTCCCTCGATCTTTTTTATTTAAAGTTTTAATTCCAAAGGCCTCACCTGAAAGACAAACAGAATTCAGTAAGACATGCAACGCTGCTCGTGAAAAATGAAGCAGTGATCCTGATAGTGCAACACTGTCAAGCTTGATTTATTGACACATTTTTATGTGAGCGGGACAACACTGAAGGCAGGTCATTCTCCACGTTCAGCTGTGCTGCACAGCATGAAATCACACAGAAAACACACACTGAGAAGGGATTTAAGTGCTCTGGGGCATTGAGAAGCCACACAGTGTGGAGGCAAAGAGCTGTCAGTTCACACTGGGGGAAGATGCCAGAGACAGAGCCAAGGAGCTGTTCCTTGGGCTCACCCTGCAGGGCTGACACCTGACATTCACTTGTTAAAACTGGCATTTTATTATATTATTTTCCACTCTTTAAACCTCCCTGTGCTGCTCAGCTGTGAATATTCTGCTGCCATCCTGGGCATGGCTGTTGCCACCTCAGACCAACCAACACTCTGTACAAAGTTCAGACCTGAAGGTGCAAATAAACACCTTCCCTGTTCCAGCTGCTCTGAACCACAAGGGAGTTGAATTCAGCCCTGAGCTCTCCCCTGCCACTGTCAGAAAGAGCACAGGAGTCCTACAGGTCAAGTTGAAAGAAGATCCTTGGCTTCTCAAGGCCCTGCTCGTGCCTCCTCAGCTCTAAGAACGGGGCTAGAGAGCAGAAAATGAAATTTTTTTGGAAGCTTGGGAGAAAAAAGTAAGAAAGGGGGAAGTACATAATATATGTCAGGGAAAAAAAATTAAAAATTAAACACAGAGAATATTGCCATGTAAAAGAGGTGTTTGTAGCTGTCAGTGGGTTTAGCACAGCTTGTTTTCCAACTGTGTGTGTTCTGTGGTGGCAGAACTAATAGGTCCAAGCTGCCTGGTTGATTAAAAGGGAGGAGATAAAGGAGAGGCAGCATTCCTGTGCCCTGCATGACTTCATTTGGTATTGTTAATGAACAAAAGCTGCACAGAAATTCACAGCTGATTACCAGGACCCCAGGGCAGTAAATCAGTGTCACTGCAGCCAGGTGAATGGCTGCTCTGGCAGCATCAAACCTCTGCAAGAGAAAGGTTCTGTTGTCCTGCACAACAGCAAGAACCTGCAATAACTGTGTGGGAAGATGAATATCACAAGTACACAAAGCTCGGTTGTGGTTACAGAACTAAGGGGATGTCAACACCTGTAAGTATTGGGGACCACTAAAGTTGGACTCCTGCAGAACAAAAATAAACCTGATAAATCATTTAAGACAGGATCAAAAATGATATAGAATTCCCCACCAGATCCAGTCACATTATCCTCATTTCTCCTTGCCCTTGCACCTCACAGCGTTCCCCCTGCACCAGTTAATCCAACTCGAAGCTCCTGCCACGGAACAGAAAACTGGCAAATAATCTTTGTTCTAAGCCGACACATAATCCAGTGGTGCTCTAGAAACAACTCCCAGCCTCAGTGCTCGTGCTCAACACCAGCCAGAGAACAGCAGTACAGGAGGTGGCCCAAAAATCCGTGGTTTGAGGGAATCAAGCAGCTTGTTTGCTCTGACCAGCCCTGCTGCTCTAAAAACACAGGAAGTTCCAGTGGTGATGCTTAAAAACAATTCCATTTATTGCCGTGTTCAGTGAGTCAGTGGTCACACCAGACACGTGAGGATTTACAGCCTTCCTGCAAATCCATCACAGGCTCTGTAAATGAAAGATTAAATCCTGCTCTTCTCTCTCTCTCTCTCTCTCTTCTGGCTGGAGATAAACCCACTCCCAGCAGGGCTGAAAACTGCACAGTCACTTCTCTTCCCACAGCATCAGCTCTCTCACCAGTGCCATGATGCTGCACTCCCCCTTTCACACTTCAGCACAGCAGGATTCCATGCAGAACTGGCATTTACTCCTTGCTAAGAATGAGTGCTTTCAACTTCACAGCTATTAGAAAGAGTTGCTTATTTTAATAATCAGCCTGGAAAGTTCAGCTGGAGATGAGCTTGTCAAGGTTGGCTTTTACACTTGCTCGTATTTTAATGGGTAAATAAATAAAAGGTCAGACTTCTGAGGATTCAAATCCAGTCCTTTAAGGTCACTCAGTCCTTTTTGCTGTGCTCCAGCACCCGGTAGGGAGGGGCAGACACCCCTTTGGGTCCGTGCTGCTCCTGCACGATGGGCAGCGTGGCCGGGGTGTAAATCTCGGGCATGTTGTCGTTGTTCTCCAGGGCCCCGTAGGAGAAGGAAGCTTTGAGGTCAGGCTGGACTGCAATCCCTTTGTCATGCATGTTCTGCATGCCTGGAGAGAGCAGAGATGAAAATGCTTAGGGACAAAAAACGCATCTTTCCTGGGCTCTGGTAAATCAGGTAAATCAGACCTGGAATTATCAGGTCTCCCTGTTGTCCAGCTCATCGGTTCCTTGAGGGTTAAATCAAAGGCCAGGGTGGTTTTTGTGCTCAGCACTGGAGCAGCTAATGGGGAAATGAGCTCCAAAGGGAATGAAGGATGGCAGTCAGTTATCCATCAACTGCTGCATCTCCCTCACACAGCTCACCACAGGCTGTGCTTCCCAAAAGAAATTCCTGCTCCCCCTGGTCCCTGCCTCTCGCAGCACCTCATCAGCCTTCCCCAGTGAGGGAACACTTCCCAAGGGTGATGAGCCCCTGGATTTTCCTGTTACCTGGCATGGCATCCATGGATATGTATGGTTCAAAGGGCACAGGCTTCTTCCTGTTCCTGGTGATCAGGAAGACACCCAGGAATGCTATGAGACACCTGAGGGAGGAGAACAACATCACTGCTATCACTGCCGAGGGAGGGCACCCAGCACTGCAGGTGCCAATAATCTCCCAAATGTGTGTTTTTATTTTCTAAAAATCTGAGTCCCATGAAGCAACCCCTTCCAGTTTTCCCCTCCAGGGAACTCGAAGCACTTACCCCAGTGCAAACATGCATATGTGCAGAACATCCTCCCCCGTGAAGTCCAAGTAAAAAGTCGCTCCTTCAAAAGGAAATAATTCATTATATCTTTCCCCACCCTCTCAGTGTCACCTCCAGCATTAATCCCTCCAGGAACCACTATTTTTTTAAGCTCCCTATTTTTACCTCTGTGGTTTTTGGTTTTTTTTTTAAATGATCATTTTTAATGAGCGGTCATCTAAAGCAGAAAATTTTAAACACAGTCTAACGGGATAATTCATGTTTTAACGAAGGAAAAACCAAACAAAGATGACAAGGAAACACAAGAGAATCTTGCTGGAGTATTCACCTGCCTTGTTTTGGGAAGGTTTGGGCCCTTACCTGCTGAGATTGCTGCTGCTGTGGACAGGATGTAGCCAACACTGGCAATCTGAGCTGAGTCATAGAGCTGGGAGGCTTGAGCTAAAAACCTGCAACACAGTCACAGACAACAGGGCTTCATGTGCAGGGATGCTCTGCTTGGAGACCCCTTCCAGAAGTGATGCTTAGATTTGGGAAATTAATCATTTTTCTCATTGAAGCAGCAGCAACATCCCTTGGAATGGGTGACCTCAGGGCCACTCACATTCTGAGGAGCTTTTAATCCCTGCTGCCACTGGGTTTTTATGTTATTGTGCGAAGGGAGAGGAAAAAGATAAGCTAAAACCAGACACATTGTCAGCAGCACTGATTCTGCACTTTGATTTTAGCCAGTACACAGATGTGTCTGATTTACCACCATTTCATTGCTAAAACTGTTTTGCAAACGCTTGGGTGATGTGTATCCACATTTGGGATTGAAACCACTCCCACCATTATCCCAGAGGCTCCTGTGCCATGGATTTGAGGGCAGGGTCACAGAAGGGAATGGAACAGTTTTAATTCTGATTTTGGAAGGGTCACGAGCAGCCCGAAGCAGAACAAGGACAGACACAAAGAGCGAGGGGCTTACGTGGCCTGGTAGATGGCTGTGGCAATCATACACACCAACATGATGTAGAAGATGGGGGAGTCCAGCTGCAGGGTGCCTTGGATGGACACAACAATCATCCCTGCCACAGCCTTCACCGTCACCACCGTCATGGAACCTGGGGGAGGTCAGGGGAGTTCACCACACTCTGCTGGAGGCTCCAAACAACCTGAACAGAGGGTGCAAACTGCGCCCTTTTAGCACCAGCTCTGCCAGTTTTATTCCCTGAACCTTTCTGTGGCACAATTCTCATGTTCTGCAGAGCATTTACTGTGGCTGTCACCTGATGGAAGGACACAAATCATCACCTGGTTTGGTTAAGAAAAGCCAGGGAAGTTTTCAAAGTGAGAGTCAGAAAGATTCCTCTCTCTTTTTTAAAAGCCAGTCAGAGTTAGTGGAGTTGCTTTGTCTGGAAATCACAGAGCCTTTGAGGTATCAGTGACTGAAATCCAGCCCCAAACAGTTCAAAAACAAAAAAAACCAAAGAAAAAAGAGTAAAAGAAAAGACACTGCAGTAACTGAAGCTGCATAAATAGCAAATGCTGAGGACTGAGACCCAGGTTTAAGTGTGTCAGGCTGAGTCACTGCCTTGCTTTATTCACCCCTTGCAAAGTGGAATGGAGGACAGTTTCTTTACAAACAAACCCAGATGAATGTGGAGAAAGGGACAAATGAAATCCCACTGCAGACTTGAGGGATATATTTGACTCCAAGCCCACAGACTCTCCCAGTGTCACCAGGGACACCCTGGCAGGGCATTTCTCCTTTCTTCAGCCACACAGCAGATCTTCCCAGAGCCAAGAACACTCTTGGAGGTCAAATCCTCTCTTTCCTGCACTGGCCCAGCCCTGCTTATCCACTGAATGCCAGTGCTTTGTGTGCACAGATTAAAAGGAAAATGAAATAAATAACTTGGGCTTTCTGTGTTTGGCAGATTATTCCTCCTTATGGGAAATAAGCCCTCATTGTTCAAAGGTCATTTGCAAAGATGTCCAGCATTTGTAGTAACATTTCTGGGGCGGATTGGTGCATTTTGTGGCATTAATTAGGTCAATAGAATCCTCTAAATGCCAGAGATGCCTCAAATTTGCTGTTTAAAGATCTTCCAACTCCACATCAACTTACCCAGCAAAGCCACCAGCAGAAGAATAACTACAATGTAGTTTGCATTTTTCTCCTTGTAAAAATACAGCAGCAGGCAGAAAACAATGATCTCCACAAGCTACAGAAGACAGAAATGAGAATATTAAAAATGCAGATTAGATGGGATTCTGGGCCAGACAAACACTGGAATTACACAATAGGGCAAATCAAAGGAAAATAGGGATCCCCCACAATTACAGATTAAATTTAGCATGATCTTAGAATCAGTTAAATGAGCTACTCAGTGGCTTCTTGCAGAACAGGAAACATGGGACACTTTAGACATTAAATTTATGGTAAAGCAGCAGATCAAATAATCCTGGTTGAATGTTCCCATCAGAGAGCTCAGCCTGCTTTCTGTGAGGAGGTTCTGTCAAGTGACCCCTGAAGCACGAGCCTCAGTTAATGGCCAAGCTCCTCTCAAATATAAAATGACAGATTTCAGAAGATTTTTAGTGAGGAAGTTATGGCTCCAGCAAGAAAGTCAGTGGAGAAAAAGCCCAGTTGAAAGCACAGTAACTTCCAAATTAAACATCTTTTAAATCCTAAGAGAATAATTCAGAGAAGGAATGGCAGAGCTGTCAGCTGTGCACGTGCCTGACACCTGGAAAAGCTGCCAGAGGCTCCCCAGTGAGCACAAGGAAGACTGGCAGCAACCACGGGGAAAAAAACAACTCTTGAAAGGAAACTCCCAAATCAGGAATGCTGAGAAAGCCATCCCACATTTCCTGGGCTGCCTTACCACGTAGAGCAGAAACGGCCAGCTCACTAAATGCCTGGTGATGTTTTCTGCCGTCATCTTCTCGTGGCTGTTGGGGCCAAAAGTCACCAGCAGGTAAGTGCCAACGATTGCCAGCCCACAGCCGAGGAAGGACAGGACGTAACGTCCTTGCAGCCAGGACAGGGCACAGGAGAGAGAGGGCAGGGTTAAATTATGGCATCAACACCACGCCTGACTCAGTGCCCCACTTCCCAAATATCAGAGCCATCAGGGGGGTGGGAGCTGGGACAAGGAGAGAGGAGCTGCTGAACAAACAGAGCTACAGAGCTGGGGGTGGGGGGCTTATCCTGCCCTGCACGGCCCTTTTTCCTGGGAAATGCAGGCAGGAATGTCCCAGCTCTGCAAACACTGATTCCCCTGTGCCTCAGAGTCAGGATCCTCAAATCCTGCAATCCCTGGAATTTCTAGGAGCTGTGAGATTCAGGTGATTTGGCCCAAGTCTGAGAAAAAATAAATATCCATCTTTAACTAACAGATACCACCTGCTGACCTTGCCATCCCTCTAATAATAACAATATAAAATAATGAAAGGATAATTCCTGAGAGGCCATGCTGTGTGTGCTGCATGGCTTGTAAATAAAGGGGAAAACCGAAAAGGAATTGCAGCACTTACTCAAAAACTCCTTGGGCTTCCATTTTTCTTTAATAAATATAATCCCTATGATTGCACTAGCTATAAAAAAAGAGGGAAAGAGAAAGAGTGAGTTATGGATCAGGCAGGAATGTGAGAGTGGAACACACTGAGCTCCCTCCTCACCTATGACAGACACTGCACCGAGCGGCACGATCAGCGAGACGGGAGCGAAGGCGTAGGAGGAAAACACTCCCAGCTCTCCCAGCAGCAGCAGGAGGAACCCACACCACCAGGTCTTGGTTTTGAAGTAGGCCCTGGGGTCTTTGGAGCCTGCCAGCCTGATGTGGCTGTACTTCTGGAAAAGAAAACAAACCCCCCCAAAATAAAAGAGCAAAGCGTGGTCGTGGTGGGTGTTCTGAGTGCAGGGTGAATTATCTGCTGCAGGACACACTCACCTGCAGGTTGAGGGCAATGCTGCTGACAAGGTGCCCAAAAATAGCCAGTAAGGCCCCAATCAGGTTCTCCTGGAAAAAGAAAGGACACACACAGGGATCCAGTTTAGCCAAGGGATTGGGAGGGGGTTTTGCACCCTCTGGAAGCACGGCTTTTAAAACTGTTCCTGGATTGGGTTGGAAAGGACCTTTGAAGGTCATCTAATCCAACCCCCACCTGGCAATAAAACCTGTTTATCTCCCTCCCTTTCTACTGATCTGGGGCAATCCAGAGAAGCCCCTGAGTTCCAGAGCTGTGAACTCAGCTGAGAACCCCTGACAGCCACTTTCTCCAAGGGACTTCAATTAGTTTGCAGATAAAGCCAAACACAACGACCCTGCCACTCATCCCCTTTGGGGAAACTCCTTTCCTGAGGATGTTTATTGCCCTGGAATTCCACAGTAGGGATCAGGGACCTCTGCTTTCAAACTGTTTTGCTCTTTTCCACTTGTAAAGGCTGCTGGTTCCCTCCTAATTCAGCCCATCTGATGAGGCAGCTCGAGCTGGCACAGATTTGATGCCACTTTTTATCTGAACCAGTTATGCCAAAAGTCCCAGGTGACAGCTCCCAGCAAACTCCCAGCTCCTTCTGCACTGGCATTCCCAGCTCAGCAATGATTCCCACCATCCAGAAAGGTGGGATTTGAAATAAAACAGGATGAAAAACAGGTTGAGTCACAAAGGGAACGTGGAGGAGGAGTGAGGAGCCTGAGGCTAAGCCAGGCCTTTGAATATTTGTGTGCTCCCAGATTTGTGTCTGAAATTCAAGCCCTCGAATGCACAGCAAACCAGAACAACCTGGCAGAATTCACTGCACTTAAACACCTCCAGACACCCCCAGCTTTGAACTGCCAGCCCTTCCTTCACTTTGGCTGCTCTGCAGACACAGAATTTCTCCTCTCTCTCTCTCCAGGTGACACCCCAGAGCCTCCAGGAGTGGCTGAATGCACAGACAGAGCACTTTCTGCAAAAAGAGACCCAAACAGAGCAGCGTTCTCAGCTCAATCCAACAGCCAGGGGTGGACTGGGGTGGGAATCTGACCTTGTAGGAGAAGGAATCCGTGTGTGGCTGCACAGAAACTGCTGCTGTGGCCAAGGGCAGCTGCTGGAGTTGCAGATTTGGGCTGTTGCCTCCTTCCATTGTGGTTCTTTGCAGTGTTTGCTTTTCAGCCTCTCTGCCTGCTGGAAGTTCTCTTTAAAGAAGAGATGTGGACCTTGCTGGAAGCAGCTTTTGGTGCCTCTCCTTCCCTTCCATCCTGTTTCCTTGGCCAGGCAATGAAATCCTGCTGAAGGTCAGGCCACTGGAAAAAAAAACAAAACAACAACCCTGGAATCAAACTCACAGCAGAGAAAGCACATTTGAAATGCCTTCTTACAAACCTGGACAGAAACTCCCACAGACTTGGCTTTACAAAGAGCTCAGAGCTGGCTGGGCCCCAGGGGTGACACACTCAGCTGGCATTTCGCAGCACCACAAAGTCTCTGAAGTCCTGCAAGAGCTGCTTTTCATCCTCCTCCTGCCTGTACCCCTGGGGTTTGTCGAGGACCAGCAGCTCATGAGTCACCCCATCCCCACGTGCTGGGGATGACAGAGCCGCTCCCAGAGGTCATCCCGGTGCAATCCCTGGGAGCTGGAATTCCTCGGAGTCAAACTCGTGTCCGAGCTCCCCGCACACCGCGATGGCTCCTTCTCCCTCGGGGAGCACCGGCATCACCCCTGCCTGGTACAGGAGATGCAGGTTTACAGACAGACAGGGGGTGATCCCCACCCCTGACACGTCCTCAGGCCATCAGAGCCCCGGGATGGAGCGCACGGAGCATCCCAGCCCGGGACCCTGGAAACTGCGGCAGCAGGACCGGGCTGGGCACCGCGACCCCCCTGAGCACACCCCGGTGCCTTTAACCCACCCGGAGCCTCCAGCCCTGCCAGGAAAGGGCAAAGACAGCCGCTGTGAGGGGCAAAAACCCCTCAGGGTGTGAGAAGCGCCGGGCACGGGGTGTCCCCACACACCCCCGGCCGGGCCGCCCTGCCCAGCCCAGCCCAGCCACGGGCTGTTCCCCGCCGAACCCTCCGGAGTCCCGGGTACACCGGGACGGCCCCGCCACTCACCTGTCCCTCAGTGTCCCTCACTGTCCTCAGGCTCGGCCCGTCCTTCCCCGCCGCCCCCGGCCCGGCCACAACTCCGGGTCCCGGTCAGCGCCGCGGGCCGTCACCGCCCGGCCCCTCCGATTGGCCGCCAGCGCTGTCAATCTAGGGCCGGGCCCCAGCCATGTGCGGGGATTGGCTGCTGTGAGGGGGAGGGACTTAGCTCAACCAATGGGCGCAGAGTTCTGAGGGGCCGGGCGGAAGGAGGTGCGTTCCGCCGCTCGGTTGGAGCGGGGCGGTCCCGCGGGCCCCTCCCGGGGCTCCGGGGCAGCTCCCCGGTGCAGGCCCGCAGGGAACGGCGCGGGCCCCCGCCCTCCCCCGCGCCTCGGGTACAGCCACAGCCGCCTTAAGGCGCACGCGCGAAGCGGCTCCGCCGAGCCACCTTAACCCAGGCGCGGCGGCTCTGAGAGCTCGCCTGTGATTGGGCGGCTGCTGCCGTTCCCAAAGTAACGGGCGCGCTGATTGGAGGAGAGCGGGGTTGTCACGGCAACGGGGTTGTCGCGTCCCCGCCGGGACCGGGGATGGGCGGGGGATGCACCGGAGATACCGGCAGGGCCCGGCAGGTACGGGCCGCACACCTCACCGGGGCGGGGCAATGAGGTGTGCGCGGTGCTCCCCGCGCTGCCTCAGCCGCTCAGGGACCGCCCTTCCCGGCGTGCACCGCGCACCTCACCGGGGCGGGGCGCGGCCCTGAGGAGACTTCCGGGATCGCCACCCGGGGCCTCACCTGAGGCCTCACCTGGAGCTCCACCTGGGGCTTCACCTGAGACCTCACCTGGGGCTTCACCTGGGGCTCCACCTGGGGCTCCACCTGGGGCTCCACCTGGGGCTTCACCTGGGGCCTCACCTGAGGCTCCACCTGCGGTTCCACCTGGGGCTTCACCTGACCCCCGTGTCCCCTGTGTCCCCTGAGCCATCATCCCGTGCTGCCCCATCCCATCTCTGCCAAACCAGCCCTTGAGCCCCTGCCCCTGAACGCCTGGGAATGGCTTTAGAACCAAAAATCCCGGTGCCACACCGAGCAGGGACACTGGAATGGGCTCTGAACTGGATTCCTGCCTTCCCAGGGGTGCTCAGGGGTGTCTCGGAGGACGAGGCAAAAGTGATTTACAGCACTGAGTCACAGCCCATTCAGAGCTTCCAAGGGCTCTTTTACCCCCACCCCCAAATTTGCTTCTTAAATAAATCAGGGAAATGAAATGCAGAAGTGGCTGCTGATTTCCTGGCTGGAATGCTGCACTGGTGTTAGATTTGCCTTCCTCTCACACGCCCCATTTAAAATGAAAGCCGGGCTTGGATTTGCATTTTCCTCTATCTCCATATTCAGAGTCTTGTCATCATCAGCTGTTCCTTTGGGGTTTCAACATTTCCTCCAGTCCTTACAAACACTACAGGAAAGTGATCTCAAGCTAGGGGGGAAAAAAAAAAGGGATTTAAATCTCAGTCACAGAGATTTCAGTATAGCCAAGCGAGTAAAAAAATGTTTGAAGTTTAAGCCTTTGTTTTAATTTTTTTGTGCCACAGATAATGATCCTGGTTTCTAACAAGAACAGCATTTAAGTTGAGGTCGTTAAGTTGACTTTGTAATCACGGCTGATAAGAGGATGAGAAAAACAGTAATTCAATATTATTGGTTCATTTGTGCCCACCTCCCCATCTCCCACCCTCCCCCAGCTCTGGCCCTGCTCCCATTTCCAGTGGTTTTGAGCTCTCCAGGACACACAAACACACAATCACACAATCACAACACACACACGTTGGGTTTTTCAGGAGCACGTTCAAAGGAATCGGGAGACAGCACGAGGTGACCCCTCCCATCTTTTGCTCTGCTTCCCGCTGATCCCCGATTTTCAGGGATTCCCTGGCTCTGTCTGGCCAGCAGAGGGAAGCAGAAAGACACACTCAAACCCCCTCGATTCCCCAGCCCTCGCTTCTTTTCAAGCCCAGCCAAGACTCGCAGGTGCCAAGGGGCTCCTGGGCCTTCTGGATCCACCTTTCCAGCTGCTTCCTCAGCTGGTGGAAGGAGGATGCCCTTCCACAGCCTCCTGCTGTCTGGTGACTGCGTGGTAACCCCAGAACTCCCCCAAAATCACCTCCATGAAGGATTTCTGAAACTTTGCACCAGGGTATGTAAAGCAGGTAAATCAAGGAAGCGTTGTTTGACATCTTCCCTCTTCTGCCTTTGGCATCTTCCCTTTCTTCTCCTGCCTTTGATCTCTCCCCCCTCGTTTGTCTCTGCCATCTCGGTGATATCAGGAGTGTTTTATCTCGGCAATCAAGGATGGAAAGGACAAAAAGACGAGGGGGGGGAAACGATCGAGGCGGGGAAGTCGCTTCAATGCCTGGTGCAGGCGCCGTCAGTCTGCCTGGTGAGCTTCCAGCAGCTCCAGGTGACCCGGTGCTGAGCTGGGACTCAAAAGAGGAGAGGCAGAGTCTGGAGGCAGCTTCTCAAAGCCCTCCCTTCCCTGGGAGAACTCCCTGCTCCAAGGGCAGAGCGGGCAGGGAGCCAAACCACACGAAGCTACACCAGGGCTTGGCTGGTTCCTCCGTGGGCTTTAGCCCTGGAGAAAGGTTCCTGCAGCAGGCTGGGGAGGGGAAGGGTGGGATCCAGGAACGCCAGACCTTTTAGGGGCTGCTGGTTTAGTTCCCTCTTCCAAAAGCTGCGTCCTCTCCATTCTGGAGCACGTTCCCTTGGGCAGGGATGGATGCCAGGACATGGAGTTGACCCACTTGTAATTTAGGCAGTGCAAGGAGCTTATTTGCTTCTCCCTCCCTGACCTGGAACACCCAACAAGGTGAGCTGACCCACTTTTGTCACTCTGCCACTTTAGCCCTGTTTTGTTGTCACCCATCCCTGCAGCTCCCAGAGGGACACTGGGGGAAGCTGTTCCTGCTGGATTGACCTCTTGGCACAGTGAAAAAGTGCCACCAAAACACAATTCCGGGCGTTCTGAGGGCACCTTGAGGTGCAGCTGCTTCAGCAAGAGGGAAAACCCACCAAGGGTGTGGAGAGATGTCTGATCTGCAATTACTTCCAGCAGCACCGAGGTGACGATGGACATGCCAAACCCGTGGCTGCCTCCCTGCCACGTGCTGTCCTGGAAGGTGCTAATCAAAAAGGTGCTGCCAGAGCAGCAACTCCCCTTTGTGGGGCAGGGCTGGGTGATGGAGCTGCATCCCTGGTCAGCAGGAGCAGCCAAGCCCGGCAAACCCCAGGGGAATGAACGGAGCTTGCAGGGGCAGTTTTTTTATCAGCCGCTTCGGGGTTTTAATAGTCGCTTCCAGCACGTGGGGCTGGTCTTGCTTCCCTCAGCACGAGCCTCCTGTCCGGGGTGGAGAACCTCAGGCACGTGGCAGGGCTCCCACAGGGCAGGGCCACGTGGGGATGGGAGCCCACAGCTGTCCCTTTGGCACCCTGGGAGTGTCACGTGAGCTAAAGTGAAGCAGAGCCCTGCAAAAATCCCCCAGTTGGATCACACACCTCTCAAACTTTGGTCCAGTACTGAAGCATTTTCCTACAAAGCAAGAGAAGTGGAAAGGATTATTCATGTCCATCTGCTTGATGAGTGGCACCTTTACAAGAAGGGCTGAATCCACGGGAATTCCGGGTGCACACGAGAGCTGGAGGCCTCGGAGTTCCTCGGGATCCCAGTCCTTGCAAAGCTCTTCCAGCTGTCATGGAGGTGGCACATGTTTGGGGTTTGTGTTATTTTTAGCACTGCTGTACCTTGTCTGTGCAAGCAGCAGGGACAGCTCAGGAGAACAGCCTGGGAAGGGATTGGCCCGTGATGTCACCGTAAATCAGCACCTTCTGCAGCAGCAGCACTGCCTGCCCACTGCCAGCTCCTCTTCCCTTCGGAAGGAGGGAGCCTCCATTCCTCTCTCCATTCCTCTCCCTGCCATTCCTGGTTGTTTCTTAGGGGGGATTGTCATTCCAGCACAGGCCCTGCCTGGATGGTGGTTTTAATCCTCTGCAGGCTTCCATTTTCCCCCTTTGAACCCTGCACGTCCTGGCTGATCCTGCAAAACCTTCCACACAGTTAAATCCCCTCATCCAGGAGTGCAATAATTCCCAAACTACTTTATTTTCTCCTCTCAGCTGCACTTGGCCTTGTTCTCCACTCCCTCAGCATTACACAAGTGCTGGTTTGGGAGAGGGCATCTGATCCCTGCCAGAATCCAGAATGGATTCTTGCAGGGATCAGATGTCCCCTCCCCAAACAGGAGCTCAGTCCCTTCCAGAATATTTTCCCTTGGCAACAGGACAATTAATGAAGCCCACACGATGCTCTTAAGGACCAGCAACTCCAATCCCCCTCCCCACCTCCTGCACACTGGAATAATTTCCCATTTCCATCAGTACAAAGCGGCTGCTTTCATCTTGCACAGTCCCAGACTTTCCAAGCCCTGCTTTTTTTTATTTTTTTTTCTTTTTCCTGGGATTGGCAGAAGTAGGACAGGGCATCCAGCACTTCATGGGACCAGCTCTGAGAAGCTGGAGCTATCCCCATGCAGCAGAGACAGCTTGGGATTCATTTGGGGCTCTAAAAATAGAATCCTCTCTTTGAAAAGCCCAGGAAGAGAAGAGAGGCAGGAAAGGTGTGGTGCTGCAAATTAATGCCTTCTGCCCACATGCTGAATTAATTAGGCCCAGCTCAGATGTTGCAGTGAGATTTTAGATCTCCTGTGGCTCCCAGTCCCTACAAATTGCAATATAAACAGGGAGGAATCCGATCTTCCTCGTGCCCAGAAATATCCAGCTTTCCATGCAACAGGAGACTTGCATTCAAGGATTACAATTCCAAAATTATGAAGACACAACTTAAAACCAAGGCTTAAAATTCCTGTGACTTGGAAAACAATGGAGGAAGTACAATAATGCCATCAGTGATGGTGCTGGTACATCCTCAGCTGGAATGTTGTGTTTGGTTCTGGCCACGCTCACTCTGAAAGGCAAGGGCAGAAATGTTTTTAATTTCAAAATAAGAGATATCAGAGTCCCTGGGAAGACTGAAAACACTGAAGATGTTTAATTTTTGGAGAAGGCAGATATAATGCATGT